ATTAATGTGATGTTATATGCTACATGTATGCTGCCTATGAATGTGACAAGATGGAAAATCATGAATGAGAAGTAATTGTTATGTGGCAGCTTGGTATAGAAAGTACATGAAAGATATGCTATTATGATGATGATGGTACGGAGAGTACATGAAAGATATGCTATTATGATGATGATCTAGTCATGCATATACACCTCATAATTCATTTGTTTCTTGTTTGTGTGTGAAGCATATCATGGCATACATGCACGAATTTCATGTTGTTCATGGATTAGAATATTTATATAAATATGGATACGATTGAGCACGCATCATATAGGCATCCCTTCGGTACCAGGGTATGGGACACTTGGCTTCAGTCCGCATAGGCCACAGTTGGAATTCACCTTTGATGGGAGCCAGTATGGAATATCCACTGTGTATGTACACGCACGACGGTGCTATGAGCGTAATGATGGCGTTATATACGCACTATGATATGTTAAGTATGCGCACGATGGTGCTATGAGCGTAATGATGGCGTTATATACGCACTATGATATCTTAATACATCTCCGGAAAATGAAATGTTGATGTGACTGTTTATAATTTTGTTCCTAGTTTAATACTGTTGCATTATTGGTTTTGCTATCACATTACTGGGATTTTTCTCACCCCTTTGGGGCTGCAATTTTTATAAAATTGCAGGAGGACGAAAGAGCATATGAAGACATGGTTATTTTGAATATTAGCTGTTAATTGTTGCTGTTTAGATTTCTGCGGTTAATTGTTTGCCTGTTGGATGACTATATTATTGGAATATTTGGGAAGTTTGGATTATTGTTGGAAGCATTATTAGGCTACTGTTTTAAGATTTTTATGATCAGTTAGGACTTTGGAAAAATTCTGGAAACCTTTTGCGAAAACTATTTCTTAAGGTTTTGAATGCAGTTTTATAAACCGTTTTGCGAGCACTTTGCAAGTTATATTTAGTTGGGCTAAAGACCTCCGAATGAGGTATAATTCATATGTACGTAAAGCCCCAGTTGTGTACTTTCAGATTATATAAAGATTATGTTCAACCCTTGTAATTACGAATTATTATGATTTTTACAAGTCAGGAGGTTTTTGGAGAAATACAATGAATTTTCAAGTACTTTACGAGTTCTGTTTCGTGGGACTATTCAACTCCGATTCGCGTATAATTTATAGGTACGCGAAGCCCCATATGTCTAGTTTCTATGTATCAAGGAATATTTTTGTAAACCGTTGATTTCGAATTTACATGATATTTTGCAAGACAGGCTGTTTTCAGGAAAATCAGAGTTGCGCAGCGAAAGCCTTTTAAAAATATTTTTGCGGTTTTCACTTTTTCAATGTCAGTTTTCTAGGCAAGCTTTTATAATTGTTAATATGAAAACGTTTTTACTGCAAGAATTCTACTCGTTAACAATTCGACTCTAATCCGCTTAGCAGACAACTCCCTTGGACGCGTACAGAGGAGGGTGTCACAGTTAGGAAATTATTAGAATTATGATGATAGGTGAGAATTTATTTTAGGCATGTGAAGCCTTAGAAAAGATGTAGGAATTAATTAATAGCAACTTATAGAAAAATTAAAAATACTAAAGAGAATTGGGAACTTATAACTTTATGGGTTAGCATCTTAGTTAGTATCATTTTGCAACCAATGATGCTTATGTAGTCAGCCTGCATGTCACTTGTGTGGGCAGAAAATTCTGCACCCAATTACCTCCTCTTGGACGGTCCATGGAGAGAGAGAGAGGGGACTCAATTCTCTTCTGTTCTTGATGGCTTTTTAAACTCACATTCCAGCCTCATTCTCCTTTCATCAATCGCTGATTGTAGTGGACCAAGTTAGGGAAATCACATTGATAAAACAGAACCCTTTACAGCCACATATTCCTACTAAACCGTGAGCATCATTGAGAGACAAAAAAAAAAAATTCTAAACACCTTCTCATTCAACCTTGACCGTAAACGTTCTTAGGAGAACAACATAAGGGAAACTTGGTTTCATCTCCATTGGTTTCAGCCGCGATTCTGCATACAAAGAGGTATATAAATTCCTCACTTCCATTGTTTTCCTCTTCCACGTGGGTTGATGGAAATGTCGCCTTGTATGTAGGTTTGAACTCTAGAAAATTCTTCCTTCCCCTTGGTGCGCACAACCACTTTTTGAAGGGCTGAGTTGCTGCGTTCGTAGAGCTTAGGAAGCGAAGGTGCTGCTCTCTGTTTTGTTCGGATTCCTTGTGTGCTTGCAAGAGGTAGGCACAAAATCTCTCCTTCTTTCCTCTGTTCAAACCATGAAGCATGCCTAGGAAGTAGCTTTTATTTATTTTAGCTCTTTTAGATTCTGCCATGTTACATCCTTTGGGTCATAGCCTAAAAGCCTAACAAGTAAATTGGAAAATGATCTTAAAATTGAATGGTGGGGCTGTTTGGTGGTGACTTAGTACATCTCTAAATTTTTATGAAACAATATGATATGGACAGAATGCTTAGGCCCCTTGTAGCGCACCATGAATGAAGTAGTTGGGTTTGGAATAAATTATCCTTGATGTTTGTTTAGATAAACTCAATTCTGTCTTGGTGAATCTTGTTATGAACTAAGTCTTATTTAAATTAAATGTACAGTATGAGCTTAGGCTTTCCTTCACATACCCTTGGTCTTGTTGAACTAAAATTTCGAATAAATGTCATGAGCCGATATATATTAAAACCGACTCTGTTTTGAGTAAGCCATTGGGATTTATTCGTGGTTAATAATTGGTGAAAATTAATTTGAGGGCAGAATGCTATTTGGAAAGAAACCATGATAGGAACTGATTGGGTATGTGCTGTATAAAATTTATAAACTTAGGTGTAGTCAGAAACTTAAAACCGAATCTGAGTAGGTTGTAAACCTTGGAATTCTTCACTGTTTGCTTGGGGGTAAACCGTATTGGAACCAGAAATTTTGTAAGAAAAGAACCTTGATGGCTGAATGGTACAAGAGCCTTAAATTTTGGAAACTTATTGGTAGCTAATAGGAATAGCTTGGGACGTATTCTGATTTGTTACACTTGTATATTAGGTGCGCAAAACCCTTGAGACTTTGGATTATTTCGCTGCCGCCTGGTAAATTATTTGCGACGTGTGAGGTAAGTGTCTAGTGACATTACCTTCTGTGACTGCTAGCTAGAGCATGAGTTGTGAACGTTGCTCTCTTGTGCTTCGGTTTGGAATTTTTTTATATGATTCTGCTCATGGTTTAAAATGCTGGATATTTGTTTTGAGAATTAAGTATGATTCAGCATATTGATATTGGACTCCATGAGATATATGTATCTTGATTATTATCTAGTCATGCATGCTCATTCATAATTTTTAACTGTATGTTGTGTGTGAACCATGACATAGCATACATGCATAATTTCCATATTGATAGCTGAAAATAATTTTAAAAAGTATGCATACGTATGAGCACGCATCATGTAGGCATCCCTTGGGTACCAGGGTATGGGACACTTGGCTTCAGTCCGCTTAGGTTGCAGATGGAACCCTCTTGAGGAGCCACTATGGGATCTCCACTGTACTTGTTGGTACGGGCACAACGGTGCTGTAAATGTACACTTTTGGCGTTATATACACATCTTGATTAAGTATTCTTGGCGTTATATACGCAATATGATAATGTTTAGTAACTCTTGGAGTTAACTTGATGATGCGATTGCTTTGTAATTTTGTATCTAGTTAGTACTGTTGCATTATTGGTTTTGTTATCACACTACTGGGATTTTCTCATCCCTTTGGGGCTGCAATTTTTATAAAATTACAGGAGGGCGAAAGAGCATATGAGGACATGGATTATTTGGATATTTACTGTTAATTGCTGCTGTTTGGACTTGGTGCTATTTTGTCTGTTGGATGACGTTGGATGATTGTACTATTGTTATGTTGAGAACCTTAGACTACTGTTGGAACTATGATTTTATTGCTGTTGTGAGACTTTCATGATTATCTAGTACTTTGGAAAAAAATTCTGAAAACGTTTTGCGAAAATAATTTATGAATGTTTTGCTAAGTGCTGATTTATAGATAGTTTTGCAAGCACTTTGCGAGTTATGTTACGAGGGGCAAACGAACTCTGATTTGATATTATTTTATATGCACGCGAAGCCCCAGACGTGCTCTTTCTATATAACAAAGAATATTTTTGCGGATCGTTGAACTTGATTTTATATGAATTTTACAAGACAGAAAGGTCTGCCAGGAAAATAATATTTTCAGCAAGTTAAGAAATTTTAAAAGTATACTCTGATTTTTTGTATGTAACCCGATTTCAATTATAAGTTTTAATTAGCAACATCAAAATTATTTTTCAGCAGTTTAAATATGACGAAAGCACTCTAATCCGCTTAGCAAACACCTCTCTTGGATGCATACAAGGGAGGGTGTTACAATGACAATACAACTTATAAAGCAAAATAACAAAAAAATGTTCACTACTACATAACTTCTCATTGAAGCAGAAAATAAAACTGTGCACTACATAACTACCTATTAAAGCAGAAAAGTAAATTGCTCATTATATAACAACCCATTAAAACATAAATGAAAACTGACTCCTAAATAATTAAAACTATCAAACTGCAGTTTCTAAAGCAAGATCTCTAACACTTCTCCTTGCATTTAGAGCTGCAAACACCAATATTCTCCCTTAGATCTTCAAATTTGCTTGCAGGTAATGGCTTTGTGAACATGCCTGCCTATTAGTCTTTTGACCTGCAGTAGACAAGTATAATTTCACCTTCTTTCTGAACTTCCCTTAAGAAGAAAAACTTGATCTTAAAATGTTTGGTCTTCCCATGAAAAACTGGATTGTTAGAAATGGCAATTGCTACTTGGTTATCAATATGAATTTCAGTATTGTTCTATTACTTCAGGTGAAAATCACATAAAAATTTTCTTAACCAAATTGCTTGATTAGCTGTTGTCGTAGTAGCTATGAATTCAGCTTATGTTGTGGACTGTGCTACAATATCTTGCTTTTTAGAGCACCGTGAGAAACTTCCTGAGCCAAGACTGAAACAATAACCAGAGGTACTTTTCATATGATCCACAGAACCTCCCCAATCACTATTAGAAAATCCCAATAGCTTAAAGTCTTGACTTTTCTTAAATTCCACACCGAAATCAATTGTTCCTTTGATGTATCTCACTACTCTTTTTGCTGCTTTTAAATGCATTTCAGTAGTACAATGCATAAAAAGAGATAAAAGACTTACAGAAAATAAAATTTCTGGTCTTGATACTGTGAGGTACATTAGACAACCAATCAGACTTTGAAAGTAGCCTTCTTCAACTCTGTCAGCTCCATCATTTTTGCTCAAGCTCTCCTTTTGATTCATTGGATTGGTCACTTCCTTGCAATCCTCCAAGTGAAATTTCTTGAGAATTTCCTTGGCATACTTCTTTTGACATATGAGAACTTCATCTTCTAACTGCTTAATCTGCATTCCCAAAAAGTATGTCATTAGTCCAAGGTCTATCATTTCAAAAATCTGTATCATTTCTCTTTTGAACTTTTCAACAAGCTTGGCATTACCACCTGTAATTAAGAGATCATCAACATAAAGAGAGATTATAAGCAGATCATCATCTTCGTGCTTTATATACAGAGTAGCTTCTGAAGTGCTTTTCTTGAATCCTAAGCTTGATAGATGCTTGATGGGACGAAAATTCGTTCCCATCTAAGCCCATTTTGATGGCAAAACACCATCTGTTCCCTCATCTGATGAGCAAATTTTGCATTAAAAACACGTGTTTATATCTTTGTGACAAAAACACAGTAGGGGAACGGATGATGATGTAATCATTTGAGAAAAGTATATAAAGGAGAACAAAATGGGAACATTAAATACACCTGCTCCACTAACTCTATCCCTCTGTACACTTTGCAGGTAACGTTGAAAAGAAGCTTCCATAAACAATAAGAGGTACAACAATCAAGTGGGAAGAAACGTGCACAACAGGGAATAACGAGTTCCTATTGGATAAGAGGAAAGCAAGGCATAGGGGACTACAGAAGAAAGGCAAATCTCAACAATAAGTGTCCTATCCAAGCAACTTGCGTCCCTATGAGCACTGTTCACACCGCCTCTTTGGTGCAGTCAAGAAAACAACTCAGTGGAAATTACGAGTTTTGTCATCCACTCTTCTGCCTATAAATAGGACGTTCCAACACGAAGAAGATCATCGAATTCCTTAAGAAGAGATCACTTAGTTTATTTTATAGTTTTTACATTTCAGTTGTATAGTTTTAGCAGTAGTTAAGTGACAACAACTTCTTCTCTATTCTGTATCACCACTTGAGACTCCTCACGAGCAACAACCATATTTCTCCATTTGTACTTTGTTGTAACCTAGTTTGTTTCCAGTTAAATATATGTTTTATTTCTCTTCTATTCCACTCGTTATCTCTGAACTGGATCTCGGGTCTATGGGATTTCAGTTTAGAATAATTATGTTTAAAGTAGTAGCCATGGGCTAAGTTATATGTGGAACGAAAAAACTGTGAAGTTCTTAAAGAACTATTTTCAAAACTCTTGTACTGAAGCTTTCGTATTTCTCTGGTTAAGTGAGCTATATTCATTGTGTATCAATGGAAATTGAACACATACTGGGAAAGGAACTTTCATAAGGAAGGGATTTCAGACAGCTTAACCAGAGGGGGAAGGCAATGTTGTGGAAACAACACTGCTGGTTGCCTTTGGAATAAGGGACCACCTCGTTCACTAAAAGTCATGTGCTAAGTAACTGTTGGAGTCAAGGGAGCCATAGGAATATGGAAACTTGTGAGTCATTTAGTCCATGAGATGAGGAATCAGAGTTGGCAGTTAAAAGACCTGATCAAAACCAAAAGTGTTATGGCTTGAGTGGAGAAAATAGCTATTTAAGAATGAACCAGTGGATCCGTTCCTTCTGTTAAAAACTGTTTTTATCACTCCATATTATTGTCTCTTAAATTTTGCTATTGTTAGTTTTATTATTTTTCTTTATTCAATCTTGTATCAATCATTCTCCCATGAATATTGTTGTTCCTTCTCTCAACAAGAAGGATATCATACATAACAAAGCGAAGAGCTGTTTGCTGTCAGATTGAACCTACTGTTCTTGAGGAACGTTGTCAAGACAGTAGGGAACGTTTGACCAAACAGGTCAATTACTAACTTTTTTTTTCATTTTCATTCTTTTTAAAATAGTTTAAGGTATTAATTATAGTACTATCCTCGTGGGAACGATAATCTGGGCACTAATAGTCCCATTATTACTTGATGCGTGCACTTGCGCACTTGGGTTGAAGTCAAGAGAACGAAAGTGTTTCCTCTTGATGATCTAAAGTGAGGGAACGTCTTTCATCATAATATTTTAAGCAACCAACAAGTTCACACGCCCAACAAAGCTCATCTATCTTGCTATACCATGCTCTAGGTACTTGTTTCAAGCCATATAGAGCTTTCTTGAGGCAAGTAGACCTTATCGTCCTCACCTTCTTTTACAAATCCTTTGGGCTATTCAACATAGATCTCCTCATGCAAAATACCATTAAAAAATGCAGATTTTACATCTAACCGCTAGCAAGAGTCGAATAGTGTCCATTCTAGCCACAGGTGCAAAGGTTTCAGAATAATCAACACAAAAAATTTGTGCATATCCTTTGATTACAAGTCTAGCCTTGTACTTGTTGATGGAGCCATATGCATTTAACTTGGTTCTAAACACCCACTTTACTCCAATAACTGTTCTATCCTTTGATTTGTCAACAAGCTCCCAAGTATTATTCTTTTTCATCATTAACGACTCCTCTTCCATTGACTTCTTCCATTTCTGGTCTTAAACAACTTCTTTACATCCTGCAGGTTCATAAATGGCTACATTGCATCTTTGATAAGTATTGGACAGCAACCTTGTTCCACGAATTGGTGGGTCATCTTCCAACTCTTCTTGCCACTGTTTCACTCCTTGCTCTTTGCTTATTTGGGTGAGAGGACTTGATTTCTGCTTACTCATGGATGCCTCTTGTGCTTGTGTCTAGTTCCACTTCTTATCTTCATGAAAGTAAACATCCCTACTAATAATTATCTTCCCAGTTTGAGGTTGATACACTTTGTAGGATTTGGAGGAAGAGTTGTAGCCAACAAAGATTCTTGGTTCTAATTTCTAGTCAAGTTTATCACGATTTACCTATGGAATATGAGAGAAACACATGCAACCGAACACTCTAAGAAAATTGAGTGAAGGTTTATAGCCATATCATGCCTCAAATGGAGTTTTGTCCTCCAATGCCTTTGTAGGCAGATTATTTTGCAAGAAGATAGCAGTGTTTGGTGCCTTAGCCCATAAATTCTTTGGCAACTCTTTTTCGTGATGCATACATCGAGTCATTTCCATTATGTACCTATTTCTTTGCTCACTTACTCCATTTTGTTACGGAGTGTATGGAGTAGTGAGTTGGTGTTCAATGCCAAATTCTTCACAGGAAATACTAAATTGTTTTGAAGTATACTCCTTTCCATTATCAATCGTAATGCATTGAATGCTACAACCACTCTGGTTCTCCACCGTTTTGTTGAACTTCCAAAACAGGCTAGCTACTTCTGATTTATGCTTCATGAAAAAAATCCAACACATTCTGCTAAAATCATCTATGAAAATAACATAATAACGACTACCTGCAAGTGATTGAGTTCTTTGAGGACCAGCAACATCTAAGTGGATCAACTGCAGCTTATTGGAGGCTCTCCAACTTGCCTTAGGAAATGGATTTCTGTTTTGTTTGCCAAACTGACATGCATTACAATTTGGTAAATGATCTGCAAAGGTTGGTAAATCATTTGACAGCTCCTTCTTCTTGATCAACAACATATTTGAGAGGTGACAATGGCCTAGTCTCTTGTGCCAAGTCTCAGTTACATTCTTCTTTGTGGAAACAGCAGCTTACTCCTCCTTGATTGGTTCAAATGAGAAACTCTTACCTTTCATTTTTGCTTTGATGATTTCCTTTCCATTTGCATCTAGAATAAGACAAACTTTATCTTCGAAAAGCACTTTTAATCCTTTTTCATTGAGTTGTCCAACACTTAACAAATTTGGATCAATATCAAGTACAAAAAGAACATCTGAGATTGACTTTGTACCTGAATTTGTTAGGATAGAAACATTTCATATTCCTTTTACCAAAATATGGTCGCCATTACCGATTCTGACTTTTATGATTGGTATGGATTTTAACTCCTTGAAAAGACTTCGATCATAAGTCATGTGGTTTGTACATCCACTGTCAATCAGCCAGCTCTCACTAGATTCATTGTCGGAGATACAAGTGGCTACGAATAATTGATCTTCCTCTTCTTTGTAACAGCTTGTTACGTACCGGTGTTGTTAGCATTGATTATGATATTAAGCGCAGTTACAATCACAGCAATTCATTTAAAAATGCGAGTAAACTTTTTCCTTTTCATTACGTAAGCGTTTAAAAACAATAATAAAATGTAATGACATAAGTTGTGATCATAACTTAATTCTAAATGCGGAATAAATAAAATAAAAGCCTAACTATCATACATTACATATTTTAAGCCACTAAGGGGTTCCCATAAATCCACTTAGCATAAATCTCACTGTTACGATTTTTCTATAACTGAACATGATTCAGTCTTTTGGACATTGTGCAAAATTACCAAACTATAAGACTATCATATTTTAGTATGTTATTATAGACTCAATTACCTTTCCAACAAGGTATCACACGCCTCATAAATTTCTCTCTAGCTCCGGTTATCACCGTTTGAAGTTGGACAAGCAAAATTGTCAGCCAACCCAAAAATCCGGGCTCCAAACATCTCTCACCATTTCTGTGATTCTGGACAAACCACTCATCCAATTGCTCTCCAATTTCTATAGAGAATACTAGACACCTTAAGATTTAATTTGAAATATCATGAGCTTAATTTATGCAAGAATTGAGGGAGAAAAATTTCCCCGAAGCTACTGCCTTGACAGCCCCTGCACATGGCCCCTTTTGGGAAATCTTCACTCAAACGAACCTACATGGAGCTACACAACTTCAAATATTACCAAATTTTGACACAACATTTCTGACATCTCAAGCTTTAAAATGATGTATGGCATGTCTGTATTGAACCTTTGTGGAGGGAGATATGCTCTCCCAAATTCAGCCTAAAAACTACCATTTTAGTATAAATTTTGACGGCACCTCCTTTGTTTATTTAACCTATCCCACTTTATCAAAAGTGTGTTTTAAAGCCTCAAATGGTACCTAATAGACAAGGGTGTCACACAAGACCAACAATGCCTTGGTGTTCTTACAACCCATAACAATTTACAATATCTTTGTCAACTTCACAATCCATTGTTTAACTTAGTTGAATCTTAAACTCATTACAATCACATTATCCAATTTCATGCATTCTTCTTAACAATTGACATATAAATCATAACCTAAAATAGGCCTATTTCCCTTTCATCACATACATGCTTTACAATTTTACACAAGGTCTATTATCATTACATTACAATTATCCAATGCCAAATATAACTACAATAAAGCACCTCAAAATGAATCAATACATAAATCCTAGACTTAGCCAAAATATAGCATGAACAAATACGACATGATACATATCACTAATGCAATATTCAATGTTCATGCTCTACATCTAACCTATGCCAAGTGTGACCCCAAAATACAAAATAAGCTCCAACTCCATTAGCTCAACCTGTGGGCCTCTTGCCCGTATCTCCAGTCCAGCTACAACCACCTGAAATAATGTCCCATAATGTGGAGTGAGATATACAAATATATCCCAGTAATCCAGAGGTTCTGGAGGATCACTCCGCCCAATGGCTCACTCAGGATGTAAATACAACAATGAATCATAACAACCAAAGGATATAGCAAGGGATTTAGAGAAGTAGGGATATATAAAGAGAAAACATACGATGAAGATAGAATGGTCATAGCCAAAACCACGCAACATTCGACCTACTGGCCTCGACATATAGCCTATGGGTTATCATCCAAGAATGTGTTCATGGAACATCATTCAAGGCACCCCCATCCGATACACCTGAGACATTCTTAGAGTGCTCCTCAACGAATAACAGCTCTATGGCCGCAGGCCAACTGGAACTCCCTCACTGAGACCTATAGTTCACAACGCCATATGACAATCTATCTATTGGAAAAAGATACGGTACATCCTATGTACCCAATATATATATACATATGCATGAGCATGTTATAATCACACCATTGACATACAACTTCCAACCACTATACCAATGGGCATAGTGGAGCACACACGAGGATTAATCCCAGTACCAAGAAATTACCTTCTTGAAGCTCCCAAGCTAGGTAGCTTCAATGCAAGTTACACCGTAACATAGTCCAACCAGAAATGCCTACACAACAGGTCATTCCCATATACGTTAGTACCATAAATACCACTCACTTGGTCTTTCAAGCATTCATGCAAATGTGACATAAGTACTTACCCAAATCCTTTTGTTCAAGGACCAAAGGCATTCACCAAGTTCAATCCTCAAGGATCGTGTCCGTGGGAGGAAACCTACAATGATCACACATAGGATCATCAATTCAATGGTGCTTCAAGTCAAATCACAAGACATTACACTTCCTCACTCCCACACATAGGGTTCAGCCATTAAGGCCTTAAATATTTAACCAAGTTGTTAATTTTACTTCAAAGTTCCTATGGCTTCCTAAGCCCATCACAACACCATTTCAAGTCCACAAACTCATTCAATTATAACTCAGCATCATTTTTCCTAAATTTTCCCTTTATGGCCAAAAATTACACCTAGACACAACCAATGATTTTGCTTCCAATTCACATGCATTCCACAATCACACAACCTATTTAAACTTGGTACAAACCATCATAACATCAATTATAACAATTTTGCATTATCCTTCCTCATTATCCATCATATGGCCGAATTGTACATGCCCCCCTCACCAAAGGATTTTCAATTCAATTCCACACATTCAACACACCATACAACATACAATTAACTACTACAACTACTCCACAACTCAATCTTCCAATCACACAACAATCCATTTTCACAAAGTTTCAAGTTCATCATCCAAATTTTCCTAAGTTACAATAATTTTCCTTAATAATTTTTATGAGCTCAATCATCATAAAACATCATTCTAAGACACATTTATCTAGTACATGTGGCTTTGTCCACTTAATTGTGTGGGTCCCACACGCCACCTCGCTCAATTCAAATTATTTCGAATCTCCCGCTTAAATCACCAATCTCTAAATAATTCCTAGACTATTTGTAAACTCCAAATTTTAACATTCACTAGAGTCCTTTAATTTCCCTTGAGCAGATGAATCCAGAGTTTTCTGGTCTTTTGGTAAAATCACAGTTTTAAGCTGTTATGTGCACTATGGGCACGTTTCCCCAAAAACTCTAATTTTAATCAAATTTCATCAATAATCATAAATCTTAGTCCTGTGTACCTTTTTCAACTTATTTCCAAGCCTAGAGCTCAAATTTTATTTGGCACATTTTTTGATGCAACTGTACCGCTGTATTTTTACCGGTAAAAATATTATTCATCAAATTTTCAGAAACTTGCCTAACCACTCAATTTTTCATTCTGAATCCATTTCCAAGGTTAATTTTCTTTTGAGACCTTCTACTAAAATTTCATTGTCTAGGGTTACGTATTTGGCAATTTACCATTTTACCCTTTTTACGTATTTTGACTCAAAACTCTAGATTTTCACTAATCCTACCCTTTAATCCATATTTTAATTATAATTATAGGTTTTAAAACTATGATGTGTTATATTCTTCATCAGAAACTTGAGCATCTACCTCCTACATTCGATTCTTATTTTTGCATATCACTGCCTTATACCCAAATTGACTACATTTGGAGCATTTTGCATCTGGCCTCCTCCAACATTTGAAAGGAGGGTGACCTTTCTTCCCACAATGATGACAAGGAGGACATTTCCCTTTGAAATTTCCATTCCTACTACTTGAAGAAAAAGAACCAGAATTACCTTCTTACATTTTCTTATTTTTATCAGCTTCATGATATTCTGCATGTAGAACTCCTTCTTGCCTCATGGCTCTTCTTTGCTCTTGTGCTTGCAGAGCAATCAACAATCCAGCAAGAGTGATGCTTGACATATCGTTAGTATTCTCTAAGGATGTAATTATTGCCTCAAATTTTTCAGGAACAATTACAAGGATATTTTCAACAATTCTTAACTCTAGAAGAGAAGAGTCCAGCAAACTGATCTGGCTTGCTATACTAAGAAGCCTCTCAGAATACTCCTTAATAGATTAATCATTCTTCATCTTCTGCATCTCAAAGTCATGAACTAGATTCAGCACCTGCATTCCTCGAATGCGTTCATCTCCCTTATATTCAGCCTTGAGATAATCCGATATCTCCTTTGTTGGCTTCAAAGTCATGATATGAGTGAAAATGGTGGTGAAACTGCAGCGATCAAACAGGCTTTTGCTTTTGACTTCTTCATTTTCTTCTCCTTCTGCACTTTGATTTGTGCCATGGTAGGATTAGCTGGAAGAAGCAGAATTTCATAGTCCTCTTCCACTGCTTCCCAAAGATCCAATGCCTCCAAGTAAGTCTCCATGCTTAGTTTTCTCCATCAAACACTGGCGAAGCAATTGACATAAGATTTGCTTCAGTTTCCATGGCGCCTCAAATTAACACACAGATCCCTTAGGAAGAAAGCTTTGATACTGGTTGTTGGTTTCAGAGATAAAAAAATAGAATTGAAAAATGAAGTATTGATATAGATTGATGCATGGAAATACAACTTATAAAGCAAAATAAGAATAATAATAAAAACTACTCACTACTACATAACTTCCCATTAAAGCAGAAAAGAAAACTGCCCACTACATAACTACCCTTTAAATCAAAAAAGTAAACTACCCACTACATAATAACCCATTAAAATAGAAATGAAAATTGACTCCTAAATAATTAAAAATATCAAACTGCAGTTTCTAAAGCATGATCTCTAACAAATAGCAATTCTAGTGTAAGAACCTGCACCGCTAAATCAGGAATTTAACGAGTTAAATATGATTTTAGGAAAATATTCTATAATTGATGTAGGATAATCATGGGAAAACTATAGTAATCAGTTAAAGTCGTTTTTCGGAAGAAAATAGCAAATACCGGGTATTTCACGGTATAAATGCGTACCAGTGAAGCGTCTCGAAAAAAAAATGATAATTCCTAGAAAAATGTCTAGGTTAAGAATATAAAGTTTGGTAAAAAAATAATTAGTAGAGCTATTAGAACTAATACCGATGATTTAAGTGAGAACACTTATAAATAGTTAATGACACAAAACCCTAGAGTGTTTCTAACACTTGCTAGTTTCCCCCTTTAGTGTGCATGGCTGACATGAGTGTTCCTCTAGCCTTGCCTCCATGAAAGCTTGCTATTTTCTTCATAAAACCTCATCAAGTCTTCATCTTTTTCCATTCCCACACTATAGAAACATCCCCAACCCTTTGAAGTTTAAGTTTTGTTGAAGAAAACACTACCTTGGGGGGGGGGGGGGGGGTTGATTCTGTTTTGGCATTGGGTAGAGGGCTACAACCTTTCTTCTTGGTTGTGAGTGGTTCACACAGTTATTGGAGCATCAAGGTGTCATTTTTGGTGAGGAAAGGACCAAGCTTTCCTTGCAGATTTTCGTGCACAATTGAGTAGTGGTTTGGAGCAACTTCAAAGACTCCAAAGTTACTTCATTTTTTTTTTTTTGTTTCAAAGGCCTTAAGGTAACCTTCCATCATTTCCTTTGCAAATCCTTGAAAATAACTTGTTTTGGGTAATGAAAAAGAGAAACCTTAATGATTCAAGTAAAAGATGGTTTATCTATGTTTAATCATGTGGTTTGAACTTCTGTTTGATAAAAAACCAGACCTTGAACCTTGGTGCAACATTGAACTCGCGGATTATGCAAAAAGTCTGTAGTTTTCGCGTTTCTGTTCGTATGGTAATCGATTACCTTACACATGGTAATTGATTACTGTGAAGGGTTATCGAATACCCTCTGTATGGTAATCAATTAACCATGTCAGAAAGGACCAGAAAATTATCCCTGGTGCATATGGAAGCCCCAATTAGGGTATGGTTCCCTAGGGAATCAGTGTTACAGTTGGATATGTAAATACAAATAATAAAGAGACTAAGTATGCTTTAATTATGGCTTTAGGAAGGACTTGCAGTCACTAAACAAAAAAGAGAACGTTGTCCAATTGCTATGAAATTCAGAATTATAATTAGTACTAATATCTTGATGTGAAACAGATGGCAATTGTCAGATTATGTGACTGTTGGTGTATTTGTTTATACCGAACCTTTGGATAAGGATTTTGGCACTACAGATAAGCTTTTGTGTCATCGATTTTACCCATTGTTGGATCCACCGTACCTCATGGAGGGATGATTTATATACATGATGTGTTTTTTTTGAAAATATGTGTTTATTACTTGAATAATATTTGACATGCTGTCGAGCTGTTTTGTGAGTGCAAAGGCCATATGTTATGTATGTGGGGTATTCCACCCTAGACTGTAATCCCTGAGTATGTGGGCCACATACAATAAGGTAACTCTGTGGGTGAGGTACAGGGGAGGAGCCTTGTACTGTGAGTTGTAGACGTGTGTAATCCATACCTTTTATTCTCTGGCCAGTAAGATGCATACACACATGACATGGACATATGTTGCATTGAACATATATTTGTCATTATACTGTTGTTATCATTTTTGAACTTATATTGGACATGTGAGTGAGCTTGGAGTAGAGAGATCCTTGAGGATCCCTTGCCTTACTGAGATTTCTGTTAGATATCTCACCCCGAGTGGGGCACATTTTCAGGTACAAGTACTTTTGAGGCTGAGACCTCTAGTGGCAGGAGGCCGAAGTTGAGTTGAGATGATGCATGCACCTTGCCATTTTATTTGGATATGATTCTATCTTAATGTTATATCTTTATAGTATTGTACCTGAGACATGATTTATGTTGCCTTACTTGGTGAGCATGGTGGTTGTCTATGCCACAATTGAATAAGCTGTGTTTATTTCATACTGGAGTTGTGTAATTGTATCAGGATTTGTTTGGTCTACGTGTTGTAGTTCCATGACTTACCTTATTTATGTTAATAAGGTTATTCAGTATAGTTATTTATTGCAATTTACATACAGGCGTTTTTGGAAAAGAATAAGTAAATTCACTTGGTTAATATGATAAGATTCATAATTGAATATTTTTAGCTTCCGCATATATTGAGCTGCGTGTATACCATATGTATGTTAATACAGAGGGTGTTACATCTAGCATCTAAAATGCCTTCACTGTTTGCTTTGTCTATAAGTCTATGATCCTTAAGCTCATAGTGCCTCATGTTGTAGATCCGATTGATAGACTTTCGCAGTTGGTTAAAGGTCTTCTGTAGGTGTCTGTTTTAGTTTGTTTTGTGTATTTCTTGATTTTTTTTTTGTTTAAGCCCCTCTTTGATCCAAAAAAGTCTATGAATACTGTTCAAAATCAATTTGAATAATTTTTAAAACCAGTTATTCTAATTTTTATAACTTACTATTGGAATATGCTGTGAATAGCAGAGCCAGGCTCCAATTTGAGCCTGAGCTAAAAATTTATATTTGAATTTATTTTTCTAAATTTTAGTTAATTCATATCATATAATATATTTAAATTATATTAAATACAGAGCACCTGAGCAAGCAATACTAAGAAGAGTTATAATTTTATTAAATATTTTTTAATTTTACTAAAAATATTTTTTTTTTACAAGTGGAAATTGAACACATAACCTAATACAACTTATTTAAATTTTTCACCAAAAATATTTTTACTCTTAGATAGGGCCAAGTAACATATTGTAGTCCAGGCCAAATTACAATTTTAACCTGGATCAAATTATAATTAATTATATAATTATATACAATAAGTATAATTTGATAAATTTTAACCCGAACCGAGGCTATATGTGACTCCGCCACTGATGCGTGATAGTCTACTTTTGATAAACTACATAACAATGTAACGCTATTTTTTCAAGTTGATTGAAATACATTGTGTGAATCACTTTTTATTTTGAACATTCATACGTGTTGTATATCTAAATGACAGGTTCATGCATGCACTTAGGGGTGTTCATCAACCGATCCAAACCGATTCAAACCGCGACAACCGAACCGAAAAATCGATAACCGAAAAATCAAAAACTGAAAAAAAAACCGCAAATTTTAATTGGATTGGATCGGTTTTCGGATTGGTAGATGAAAACCGATATAATCCAAACCGATCCAATATATTAATTTTTCTCTACCTACTTGGATCTTTTCCCAATCATAGCCCACAAATTTATAAATCCAAGACCCATTAACTAAATCCAAAAAAAAATCTAATCGCATCTCTTCAATAAAATTTCATCAATGTAGAGCTTCATATCTCATTGTCCAAAAAAATACTATATTATTGTTTACTGATGTTTTTGTATTTAAAAAAAAATTACAAAGCCAATATCTATAAAAAGATGTTATTTGCACAATAATCATGAAACAAATTTCATAATTTTCAAAAACCAAAAACCGATCCAATCCAAACCGAAAAAAATTGGATTGTATCGGATCAGATTTGAAAAAAATCCAAACCGAATGGATGATTACATGATCAAACCGAAGGGATTGGATCAGATGATTTTGCTTCCAAAACCGATCTCATCCAGACCGCGAACACCCCTACATGCACTATACTGCTCTCCGTTATAAAGCTAAAGCATTTTCCGGAGTAGGCCGCTACTAGGGGTGTTAACGGGCCGAGCCGAGCTTTGATCTTAACGGGCCAAGCCTGTATTTAAACGTGTCCGACTGGCCTTAGCCTGTTACCTGTTAGAATATAATATTGGCCTGTGGTCTGGTTTATTTACAAAAAAAAAAAAAAAAACCTGTGTGAAGCTGTCTTAGCCTGTTAGCATGTTAAAGAATAAAAATAAGATAACAGAATTCCACAAAAAATCAATTTCCAGATAGAAACCTTAGCTTCCAATTTGCAGCAATAATTTACAAAGTCTACAATAAATAAATAAAAAATTAAAGTGAGAGAAGGTAGATAACAGGTTATATTATCTTAGCCCATTATAAAAAAAGTGCCAACAAAAATAAAAATAAAAATAAAATGAATAAAATAAAAAATAAATTGACACAAACGAGCAGTGCACATTGGAACGAATGAGTTTTTGTGGGTTTGTTTTTGTGAAGGAGGATGAAGGATAATATAGAACAGCACTAGTAATTCCATAAATATACATAAATTCAATATATATCCAAATAGCATAATATAGAACAAAATCATTTAAAAAGTCTGTTAAACCAATAAAATGGGGTGAAATAAATTGATGAGAGAGA